AAACCCCAAACTCTAAACCCCAAAGCGCTGTTGGCCGGAGGAGCATCACCTCATAGACCATCCAAGAATGCCCCGATGCTCCCGCAAAGAGCCTCCAAGATGCTCGAGCTTTGCTTCATAAGGGCTCTATGTAGCTTTATAAGGGTTCTATATCGCTTTTTAAGGGTTCTATATAGCTTGATGAGGGTTCTATATCGCTTTTTAAGGGTTCTATACAGCTTTATGAGGGTTCTATACTATATAGCTTTATACTTAAGGGCTCCATAGCTTTATAAAGGCTCTATACAGCTTTATGAAGGTTCTATCATGGCTTTATACTTAAGGGCTCCATAGCTTTTATAAGGGCTCTATATACAGCTTTATGGGTCTTTAAGGGTTGAGCTCTGGGAAACCCTAAACCCTAAACCCTAAACCCTAAACCCTAAACCCTAAACCCTAAACCTGGGGACCCCGCATTTCGGGCTTCAGGGCTCAGGGGCTTTGGGCTGCAGCAAAAGTCGAGGGCTCCAGGGTCTCAGAACCTGGGGCTTTAAGGTTGACATAGGGTTGATGGGTTTAGGGTTTAGGGTTTAGGGTTTAGGGTTTAGGGTTTAGGGTTTAGGGGGGTTGAGGGTACTGTTTAGGGTTTAGGGTACTGGGTTCTTGTGAAGGAGTCTACCCATAGGCTCCAGTATAGTTCCTTCTTGTGTTTCCATCTAGGATCTTATAAGGTAACCCCCAAAAAGGAACTACTATGGAGCCTGTGGGTAATTTACCATAATACGGAAACCCGATTACGAAATAATGGGGTCTCCTTACTATTGTCATTTTCTATAAACTAAGTTCCTAAATCCTAAAACCTGAAACCCTTACATCAGTATGAAAGCCTACACCAAAATCCTGAACCCTAAACCCTAAACCCTTGTAGAACCCTTAAAGGAACCCCAAAGTATGACTGCTTAAATTAAGTTGCAACACCCCGAAATCCGTAATAACTTAAACACTAAACCCTGAACAAGATGATGGCACCGGAAATTAAGTAAGAACCTAAAAAACACTAAACCCTAAACCCTAAGCAAGATGATAGTACCTGAAATCAAGTTCCTTATATGAAGAACCCAGCTTAGGCCTCTGCGGCCACTCGACAACTCCTGGCTCTTCCCATTGCCTCCACCGGCAGCGGCTTTGGCTTTAGGTAAGGCTTTTGGGTTTGGGGTTCTGGGTTTAGGGTTTGAGGTTTAAGGGCTTTTAGGATTTGTAGGTTTAGGAAGTATCGTGGCCCCTACCCTAAACCCTAAACCCTAAGACTTGTGGCTGGGTTTGGGGGTTCAGGGCGAAGCAGCGGTAGAGCAACCGGGTGCAGGGCTGGGACTTGGGGACAGAGGGGTTAAGCTCGGGTTGCCGGTGGGGGATCTGTTTTAGGGTTTAGGGTTTGGAGACATAGTCCGGCTTTAATTTACTGATCTTCGCTTAATTCCACTGCCCTAAACCCTGCTCTCACCCTACCTTGCTTTGACCCTGCAGCCTAAACCCGAGACCCAAATCTTAGAGTCGCAGAGAACCCAGACCCCCACACTGCCCCATACCCCTTGAGCCTAAGCCCTGACCCCTAAACCCCAAACCCTAAACCCCAAACACTAAACTCAAAAACCCCAAACACTAAACTGAAAAACCCAAACCCCAAACCCTAAACCCCAAACACCAAACTGAAAAACCCAAATCCCAAACCCCAAAACACCCCTTCACCTGATGTCAGCCCCAAGTGACTCCACTGTGGCGCGCAGCGTCAGATCCGCGGGGGCACCCCCCTCGCGACATGGCTCCGCCTTCCATGCTTGCTTCAGAGCCACTGTAGCCTTTAGGCTTGGGGGCTTAGAAGTTTGGGATTTAGGATTCAGAAGTTTGCTTAAGAGCCACTGTAGCCTTTAGGTTCAGGGCCTTAGAGTTTGGGATTTAGGATTCAGAAGTTTAGTGGTTTATGGGTTTTTTTAATCACCTCCTTTCCGTCCGCCTGAAAAGGTGTCCAGAAAAGGTTTATGGGTTCAGGGTTTAGGGGCTTAAGAGCCACTGTAGCCTTTAGGTCTAGGGGCTGGGGTCCTTCAGGCAGTTAAGGTTGCGGCTTTGATGTTTTTTGTCTCGGGGCACGGGGGTTTGACTGTTTATAGGCGACGAGGAGTATAGGGCTCAGGGTTACGTGCGAAAGGCATGGCAGGGCCCATACTTTCGCATGTTAGCGTTGTTGAACATGCCGTCTTATGATAATATATGGAGCAAAAATGCTAAAACACAATCGATGTTTCTGTGCGGCCGCGAGTGCTTTGATTTTGACAGGGAAGTACAGTAGCAGGACGGGGTGGAGGCTTCTGCACGGTGTGTTTTTTCACCCCGGCTTCGAACAATGTTGGAAAAACATGGCAACCGATATTTTCGCATGTTAGCATTGCTCACCATTGCGTTGCCGTTATGATGATATGCACAGCAAAAACCATGCAAAAGCAAAAACAATAACGATGCTTCTGCACGGAAACATTTGTTGATACATGGTCGAATGGATGGGTTGGTAGCATGGACGTTGTAATGGTTTGGGCATGGATGCACTGGCCAGTGGATGGGTTGGCGACATGGACACGGCAGGATTCAGACCTGAGCGACGGAGAAAGCGGGCAAACGAGGGCGATCGACCCTAGAAGTAAGCCAAAAGGCGGATATCAATAAGATAACCCTCCTTGTGGCGCTTGGAACTCCACGTAGAACCTGCCTGGTGAATTCCCTAGGCATACAAGCGGGGAGTGTGGGTTCACCTTGGTGTTGCGCTCGCGGGCTTAAGGGGCTCATGGGTGCGACGGAGTAGATGAGTCTGCCGGATGGGCACAGGACTGCCGATACTGCAAATTCGGCATAACCTTGTGGAGCATATATATATATATATACACATATATATATATATATATGCCAGGCCTACCTCAACCTACCAAAGGCTGAAGGGGGCTTGGTAAGGTGGCCCTGAGGGGCCAAGGGATCCCTAAGAAAACTGAGGTCAGCTCAGCATTTGGTAGCGCCAGAGGAATCATAGCCGCAACAGCGCCGAAGTTTAGGGGTCCCAAGGACCCAATAATCAGGGTTGAGGGCGTAGGGCTTCAGGGGTTTAGGGTTTAGGGTCTAGGGTTTACTGGTTCCCTGTTGGGGCTATATTGAAGATGATCATATTTAATCCTTAATGGGTTTTACTTTAACAAAAATGCAGAATTGTAGCCAACAGCGACCCAGTTTAGGGTAGTAGCTACGTAGGTTAGTATTTGGGGGGCGTATATGATTATCAAATACTTGGACCGTTAAAAAAAAACAGAACAGTTCTCCCACAGCGCCGCCTGAAGTGCACCACAGCCCATGCTGAAGAAGCGAGGTGACCAGGATGCTGGCCAACAGCTCCACGTGCGGAATCCCAACGAAGGCCGGCGAATGGCAAAAACAGCGTAAAACCTTGCAGTAGTGCAATGATGAAGCTTGCATGCTATGTCTAGATAAGATCATGCTGCAGTGCCTATAAGAAACTACTAAGCGCCAGCCAGGAAAGCTGCAGAGTTGATTCGAGCAAGCGTCCGTTGCACGCTTCATGCGGGATGCGATACCAGTTGGGTGCAATCCTCACCTATCCACTTGCACTTGCTCTCATGTCAGCTACGAATAAAAATACAGGCAGGAGGTAAACTTGTGTCGCAGCCGCAGCCCAGAGGAAACCGTATGTGCTGTTGCCATACAAACCCCTATACATAATTGCAGCGATCGCATACCATGTAAGCCATCATATGGGTAGCTCTCTAAATTACGGTCCTGTTGTAGGTCGCCAATATGGTACGGCATCCGTATAAAAAGGACCCCAAAAGGGACCCTAATTTGGAGAACTACATAGAACTACCCATGTAACACTAGACCTGAGAGCACATCTTCTTGCGAGCGTTTGCAAGGATCACGTCAAACAAGCAGAGACAGGAGCTAGTCTAGGAATGGCAGAGTTTCCCTAAACCCTAAACCCCAGCTAAACCCTCCACCGTAGTATCCTCTTCGCAGCAGAAGAGCCGGCTCTTTAACATCGCTGCTAATTCTGCCACTGTGATGTACTATGCAGATGGAGCTCGTTGGCCCCATAAGAGTTTTCCCGTGAGATGTCGGCAGCCTCCATTCCACTTGCGTCTTACAGCTCTGGCAAGCAGCTTCGAGTGAGCCAGGCCATAAATTCAACTTCTCACGGCTGTGTCGGCAGTGAAACCGCGAGCAGGTTCGGCTTTCGCACGGTGCTTAGACTCATAATTAGGCCTTGAGCCTTGAGATTCCGACAAACGAGGACCAGCTCGTCACAAGCTCATGGCCTATGGCAGAGCCGGCATCTGCAACTCCCTTGATGCGTCCGTTTGCAAAGCGTAAGCCGAGCAAGAATGACAGGCGTTAGCCTGGGAACGGCACAAGCTGACAAAATCCTTCTACCGCAGGTGAAGATCCGGCCCCTTGTGACATCATGGACTGCTCTGTGGAGCTCGCTGGCCCAGATACGTATGAGATCGTATGAGCCTGCCGCTTGACTTGGGGCTTGCAAGGCTTTCCCCGGTCTCACCCGGGGTCCTTGCGGAGGATGGCAAACAAGTGTGTGTGCCCCGTCCGAGGCCTAAATCGTTTGGCTGGTCTTCAATCGGTACCAGGTGGCAAAGCTCAAAGCTGGAACTGCGAAAGGTGCGAACCTGGTCTTTATGTTGGGCTTGTCTACGGACGACAAGGTAACTTTCAAACGAGCATCAGCTCGGCAAAGACGCTGACCAGCAGAAAGAACCCCAAGGCCCCCTGCCCCGGGCCTGCAGCTGCCAGAGCTTCAGGGTCGAGTCAAGGCTGCCGCTGCACAGCACGGGCTCTCCTTGCACCTTCGCCACCGTCAGGGCTGGGATCCCTTTGCTGTGGGCCTGCTTGATCTCGTGCACGGGCTCCCCGCTCTCACCACACCAGACGCGGAGTCTGCCTTTTGCATCGGCTGCTGCAACGTGGTTGGGTGCCAGCAGGCACAGGGAGTGGACCCAGCCCGTGAGGCCTTCGAGGATCCGCACGGTCGTCCAGCTGGCGAGGTCCCAGAGGCGCACGGTTGCGTCGCGGCTGCCACTGGCCAGGAGCTCAGCAGAGGCCTGGCAGAGGCAGAGGACCCAATCTGTGTGGCCCTGCAGCACCTGGAGCTCCTCGCCGGTGTCGGAGTTCCAGACTCGGAGGGTTGTGTCATGGCTCCCGCTCACCAGGATGCCGGCACTGGTGAGGCAGAGGCAGTGCACAGTGCTGGTGTGCCCTTGGAGCGCTCGGACGTCTTCCGGCTTTGCGACGTCCCACAAGCGGATGGTCGTGTCACTACTTGCGCTCGCGAGCTGAGAGTCATTGAGCCGCGCCAGGCCCAGCACTATGCCTGTGTGTCCGCTGAGGACTTGCAGAGTCTCCGTGGTGCGGAGATTCCATAAGCGGACTGTCTGGTCACGGGAACCGCTGGCGAGGACCTCCTCGGACAACAGGCACAGGCAGAGCACAGCCTCCTCGTGCCCCACCAGCTTCGAGACGGACTCGTCGTCAGTGGTGCTGAGGCCGTGGAGCCGGATAGTGCCATCTCCGCAGCCCACCGCCACACGGTTCGCTCCCGTTGCACAGGCGCACAACACCTCCGAGTCGTGCTCGACGCTGCGCAGCTCGGACATCTGGGCGAGGTCCACGTCCCTGGTGCCCCATCGCCCCAAGGCCTCGGAAGCCGTCATAGTCACTGCAAACTCAGCATTCGAACACATTCGGCTCTGCTCGCCGCGCAGCGGCAAAATCCTCCCTGCGTCCCAACAGCCTCCTTCCCTCCCTCTGCTGTGTCGCGCCTGCGTGGCTTGGAAGGCCAGCGCCGGGTCCGATTGGAGCTGGGCATCGACCAGGTCCAGCGACCAAGGCGCCTTCCGAACCGCCTCCGGTGCAGAAAGACTTGCAGCTGTGAACTCCAGCACTCGACACCTCGAGACACATTCCGGCATCTCTACCAGCCGCTCTCGTCCACAGCCCAGCCCACCTCCAGGGCCAGCTCCAGGTCGCTGCGCAGGCCGCCGGCGAACTCCAGCACCTGAAAAATCCAGAAGACGGCGGAGTGCGGGGGCCGGCAATTCCGCAATGCAAAGACTCCATGTCAAGAGTCCCCACAAGCTTGCATGGCACGGCCTGACTCGTCGTCACCGTTGCCCACAACATCCCAAAGCTCAACCTCCAGCTTCGTAGCTTGAAAATCCTGAATCCAACAGCCAGTGAAACCCACAGCAATGAGCCCTCTGCTCAAGACGCTTCGACCTCAACCTTTTTGTAAATCACCCCGCAAGGATTTTCCCAAGCACGGCCGGTTGGAGCCGCATTGCGTCCGCGACGAAGGCGCTGTCCTCGCGAGCTTAGGGGTCTCAGGTGCCAGAAACCTCCGGGGATGATGCCACAAACCCAAAGCCACAAAGCGGCTTCTGGGAAGACTCCGAGCTCTCGAACTACGGCGCAGAGCTCCAGGCCTCTCAGATCGCTTCCTACGCTGTGTCCTCCCGAAAGCCCGCGGCGAACTCGAGGGCTCGGGGATGCCGCTGCACTGCAGCCAGCAGGAAGGATCGCTCCGAGCGCAGGGCCTGCAGCAGGCTTTAGGCTTTGCAGAGAAGCCCTCATGCGCCTCAGCCCGTCTCAAAACCGCTGTAACTGCATGCCACAAGAGTACAGCACTTTCAGCCACCTCCGGCGCAGCGGCCAAGCAGGCGGCATCGTGGCTGATGCAAGCCAGGACCACGTCGCGGTCGTTCCGAAGATCCACTGGGGCCTGGCTCTGCGCAGCGGGCAACAAAGAAGCTTGAGGGACTCTCTAAGGCTAAGGTTGAAGGACTCTCACGGCTGAGGGATCAAGAACGGCCCTCCCCGGCCTGCTGCAGTGCCTCTCTCACGGCATCGAAAGCTGGCAACGGAAGTGTGGGTGTGAGGAAGTTGGGGTCTTCTCGTAGCTTCTCTCCCAGTTCCATAGGCACACGGCCCTTCAACACCACCTGGCGGAGGAATTTCTCCGGAGTCTCCAGCCCTGCTTTCTGGTGCAAGGCCTTGACTTGGCCAGCAGTGGCTCCCAGCACCAGGATGTCCGGCAAGGACACCAGGGACGCGTCCAGCATGGCCACCCCCTGTTCCTCCAGGGGTGCCAGCAGCGACCAGACCGGTGGGTCCTCGCTCTGCAGGGCCTCTGCTTCCAGCAGCTCGCTGAGCGGCTTCCCATCATGCTCGAGACCGGCAGTTGCCAGCATCTTCAGGGCCTTGCCACTCTTGGAGTAGAGAGCACTGTGCACGAGGGTGAAGGTGCTGGGGACTGCTCCGTCTGGCATCGTGGTGGTGAGGGTCAGATCGGCATCCATGTCCACCAGCGCCCTCACGATGTCGAGGTGGACTGGCTGGAGGCCCTGCGGTCGGAGCAGCGCCGCGTGCAATGGGGGGTGCCCATCTTTCGCGGTGTTTGGGGTGTTCGGGTCGGCCCAGTCCACCAACAGCTGCTTGACCTTGGGAAGGTTCCCATCGACGCCTCGGCACAGTGGGAAAAAGGCTGAGCATTTGTGCAGACTCGCACACATCCCGATGTGAGAAGCGGTGCTGCAGATCTCGCAACATGCTCGACGGTCAACAACGAGGCTGTCAGAACGATTTGGACGAGCTCAAACTGAAAGAGGGGAAGGCTGCTGCAAAAAAGAAATGGGCGCTGGAGCATCAAAGCGATATCAGGAGGGCGGGCCACTTCATGTTCCTATGTCGCTTACATCGCTTCTGTCTCTAACCTGCTTTTCTTACGGCGGCCCCTTTAAGGCTACAACGCCACAGCGAGTAACGGAGGCGGCTTCAAAGACTGCCTCGAGGAATGTCTGTGAGCAAAGAGGCTTCTAAAATCAACAGGCGCCCAAAAGAGGGCTGGAAGAGTGTAAGCAACAAATCAAGTCCGGCACAACCTCTTCTTCAAAGGGTCTGCTCTCGATGCGCTGTGTACTGATGACATGCTCGTGGCATCTCGTGGCCCCTCTTTGAAAATGAGGGGCATGCCGGAACCAGGCAGCGAGGGAGAGAGGGAGGGAGGGAG